AAAAAAAAAAAAAAAAAACAGTCAGAAAGGTTAACCATTAAGCATTTATATCTTTTTAGTGGCTCCTAGTACTCGGTGCGGCTTCACTACAAAATGCTCAAGTACTTCCGCGACAGACTCCCTCTCAGGCGCATGAACTGGTTTCCATCGACTAGGCCATCTATACAAATGCGGTGGAAGATCTTTACTCTCCACATTTGTAAGTTCATTCACGTGCTTTGAATCCCGTTCCCATACCTTTGGCACATGTCTCTCTGTTATTACGTATCCATGTAGTTCTCTCGTTTCCTTGTCAATTCGAAAACGAACAAAGTGTTTATATCCCTCTATTTGGAAGGAAGAATAAGCTGCATCATATAAGAAATCAAAAAAATGCACAGATACAAACAGAAATACACCAATAACAAAGGAAATAAGTGGTGTCACTAAAATCCAATAAATCAATATAAGATGCAAATAGTATAAAGCTATATGTGTACGATCGGTCGTTTCTGAAAATGTACCTGTTTTATTCATACTAACATGTTCTGAAAGGTATGCAAAATTTTCTAAAACGTCCAGACTTCGCATCAAAAGAGAAAAGGTTTCAACAAACATACTTCCATAAGCTGCCTGTTGCACTTTTCTTATACCAGATGAGAGAAAATGACCTTCACCTATTAATGATATAGTATGATTTAGGAATGCATCTGTAGAATTACGCATTTGAACTTCCATCATACTTCCCCATTTTCCTTTTCCTGATAGAAGGAGATGTTTATTTTTCATATAAACAATAGTTCCCTGTACCATTGCTAGCATACCAGTAGAACAAAAGACTACAAGAATTGTCCATTGTGCTGCATAAATGGCGCGAAAAACAATTCTCCTTCGATCTGCACCGGCAGAGAAGAATACTCCAAAGAAGAAGAAAACAAGAATAAGGGATATATAAGCCTTACTGAATGTAAAAAAGAAAAGTTCTAATGTTAAATCAATAACACCTGCGGCAAATTGAGAAACTTCTGTTACTCCTTGCATACGTTTATCTTGCATCGTAAGAGGTAATGCAGACATAATAAGACCAAAAGAAAGAAACCCAGCAATAACGTCAAATTTCCAATTAATAAGACGAAAACCAATAAGACGAGGAAGTATTGATGTTAATTCATTTCGTGCTGGAAATGCTGATGATCGTCTATACTCTGTTCCTTGTGAAATAACCTTGTCATTACGAGCTCCATGTAAAAAGGCACCACCTCCTCCACTAACAACAAGTGTAGGAGCTTCAGAAAGTGCATCAGCAGGCGTATGACGTGAATAATTATGAATATCTCCACATATTCGCATTCTTAAACGTGTACCAAGGGTATCAATAACTTTATTTAATTGAGGTTGCATAGGGGATGTTTTTCCTTTTATCATAGCTTCATATATCCATGCAGGTTCATGACATGTTAGAATAACACATGATTCTTCATCAAGGTTTCTATCAATAAAATCAATAAAATAATTTCGTTGTGCAGAGTCAATATCAGCTGTACTTCCACTATCTCCACATATGAAATACCAATTAAAAGGAAGTACTAAAATAAAATAAGAACTTTTTTGAGGCATAAACCATCCTCCTATCCAAGATTCTTCTTCTATATATTTTTTAAAAGTTACGAGCCCATCTAACCAATCATGATTTCCAGGAATAGCGAATAAAAGTGGTACACTACGTAAAACTTCTTCCATACTGTAAGACACACTTTTTAAACTCCGCTGACGCACCAGAGTTTCTACTTTTGAAGCAGAAAGCATACAAATATGAGCAACATCCTTATTTAACTTACTACGGACTACTATTTCTTCTTGTTGATCTCTCATTAATTCACGAAGTTCCTTAGAACCTCGAAGAGCATCATCATAAGGTTCTATTAACCGTGTTTGATAGGTTTCATCTGTAGGGTTTGGGTAAGCCAAATCTCCTCCTATAATTACAAAAGAAGCACGTGGAAGATAATGATAATCCGCTGGTTTATAATCATCTAACATTAGTGTAGTTCCTGGTGCTCTTTTTTGTACTTCCGGTGGAGGTGTGAAAGGACGACGCTTGGGTGGTGGTAAAGAAGGCGCACGCACAACTGTACTTGAATGTCGTTCTCTGGAAATGGCTTGACCTCGTCGTTTTACCCGTTTCACGCGTGTCTCCTTTGATGGTAAAACTAAAACCGGTTGAGCCAGTAAACGTGCCATTTCATAAGTGGAGTTAAATCCATCGCCAACATCTCCAATGAAATCAAACCATACATCACTTTCTTGATCCACCAGAGAGGTATCAGATGATCCAGTATCCACAGTTAAAAAACGACCAGAAGGATCCGAATCACATGGAGTAGAAGGTGTACACAACTTATTCACAAAAGAAAGATAAAACACCTTGGGAGTAATATGTAATTCTACACCACGCTGATCAAACGTTAGAAAATTTAACATTGCCCCCAAAACTGCTTGAAATGCAGTACCGGCAATAAATGTTGAAAACCATGGAACCATACCAGGACGGTTTACTGGACACACACCAGATAAAAGAAGTTTTATCTCCTCTGATGATGCAGCAAAACTCAATTTAGGTCGTTCTTTAGAATTCATAGATTTATTTTGCTTTTTTTTGCTAATACGAAGCGGTGTAGGCTCCATTTTCCTCCAATCACCATTATTTTCAGAAGTAGGAGAGACATTAAAAAACTCCTTTCGCATATTAAACTCCTCACTCCATAATAAACCTCGAAGTGGATCAAATCCACGAAGCTTTTTATACTGATAATCCAACGTAATAAAAAGAACATTTAATATACTCAACATTATTAAAGATAAGAATGGAGCCTGTTTTGCTGATACTGGGCATAACAGCTCTACTGCAAAACCCACCCACAATGGCCAAACACGTTCTTGCAATTGCATGCAATACCCATAATGTACAGTTGAAAATAAGGAAAGTAATAGAGCATTCAAAAGAAGAATAGCCACAGTAGATCCATACGTTAAACGTAAATGCCAGACTCGTTTTCTCTTATGTACATATAAGATAATAAGTGTATTTATACAAAAGGTAGGAAAAAACACTGTAGCCACAACATCATTACTAACACTCGATCCTTGTGCATTTGTACGCCTCGTTTGTAAAAAAATTGGACCCGCGTGAAAAAACAATACCACTACACCAAACCAAGTTTGAAGAACTTTCGTTACCTGGGCATACCAGTCCGTACGACTATTCGCATGAACACGAAATGGTGCATGGAATAAATACATCCATGAGAAAAATATAACATACCCGATAGTCCATTTAACATCCGGACCCAATAATTGCATATAAGACACAAGGAAGCTAATATACGCCTCCAAACGACCGTAGGAAAACATCAATAGAATAATATATATATATTTATTTATTTATATTTATATGACAACTAGTAGAAGAGAAAAAAAAGGGATAAAAACACAAAGAAAACAAAAAATAACACAAAACTCAGAAAAAAAAGAAAACATTAGCAAAAAAAACAAAAAACAAGAAAACTGTTAAAAGTAAACAAAAAAAGATAGTTATGATGGGAATGACTCTTGGGCACTTAAATTGGGACAGTTCCGCATAAAACAGTGCGTGAAATCCCACTCAACAGACCCTTTTGTGGCACCCACTCATGGAAGTGGGGTAGAGGGAAAGGAGAGAAGGGGAAGGAAGAAAGACAGTTAAACATCACAATAAGTAATAATGGCATGATATTAAAGAGAGGAGATGGTCATTGGGATGTTCTTCTGCATCAATTTGTGTGCACAGTGCACACATCTGTGGAGGACAAGTTCATCCAATATGTAATCATGAAGAAAGGGCAAGAACACTATACAAAAGGGGAATAGAGACCAATAGAGAGGCCTCAAGTTACTGGAAAGACAACTCAACAAACTGAGAAGGGAGTACACTGAGGGTGAAACAGATCACCTCTCATAGAAACCACGCCACTACAAAGCAAACACAGATAAATAGAGACACAGAAATATAAATACAAATAATATTATACAACAACAATAACATACACAGACACACATGGTGG